AAAGTCAAAAACAAAATGTCCTCCTACTGCTTCTATTGCTTGAAAATAATGGATAACACCTGGTGTAGAATGGTGTAAATTGTACATTTTAAATATTTAAAAAAAAAAAAAAATTGCTGGTATGTTTTATGGCAGAAGAGACTCTAAGCGGATTCCTTGCCTACTAGCAGATTTTTCTTAATTATACAATGACTGCCGAATATGCATAGCTTAGTACACAATATCAGCATGTCAAGGGTGATGGGACAAATTGACTCCCAGACTCATGTGCAGAAGTCATGGCATCCATGGCCAGCCAATAAAGATGGCTGAAGACTCCAGTACCGTAGGCAGACCAGGAGAAGATGGCAGTAGAAGAGATGGAGCAGTGAGGGAGATCACTTAAAGATATGCATGCAAGCTATTCATTAGGGGAAGCTACTCTGTGGAAATCGGAGGTGTACAATGATTCAGGGGTTCTAGTTGACTGCAGACTCAGTAATAGTGTGCAATGTCAGGCTGCAGTTAACCTCCCTGGCGGTATTCCCAAGTGTAGCTCGGGGTTACTTTTCCATACCATAAGCGGTAACCCCGAGCTACACTTGGGAAAGCCTCATTGCATTTACTTACCTTATCCCTCAAGCCGCGCTGTGTTCTGCGGCCGATGCCGGCTTCCGTCGCTTGCGAGCGTACGCGTTGCAGGGGGGCGGAACTGGCGGGATATTCAAAAACAAAAAAACGAAAAAAATTCGAAAAAAAAATAGACCGAAAAATTACATGTAAAAATGTTTAAATCATACCACCAGGGAGGTTAACAAAGCTGGCAGATTATTATCATGCATAAAAAGGGAATGTACTCCAGAGACAAATCCATAATTCTGTATAAAATAACGGTTCGGCCTTATCTTGAGTATGTTGTTCAGTTTTGGTCACCAATCCACCGAAAGGATATCCTTGAGCTGCAGAGAGCCCAAAGAAGTGCAAAAAACACAAAAAACTAATAACTGGGTTGGAGGACCTAAACTAGGAGGAAAAATTGGAAACAAAGAAATTGTCCAAACGTTTCTTAAACACATCTACACTCTTGGCTGAAATCACTGCCGATGGCAGTGAGTTCCAGACCTTAACCGCTCTTACTGTAAAGAACCCTCTTCGCCCATTGTGCTGGAATTTTTTCTCCACCAACTTTAGGTGGTGGCCTCTAGTCTTTGTAATGGAGTTAATCTCAAACAGTTTGTTGCCAATGTTGCTGTCACCATTGAACATCTTGTACATGAAAATCATATCCCCCTTAATCTCCTTAATTCAAGCGTAAACATGTTTAAGGTCAGAAGCCTTGTCTCATAGCTCTGGTCCTCCATTCCCCTAATTAGTTTTGTTGCCCTCCGCTGGACTCTCTCCAGTTCAAGGACATCCCTTCTCAGTACCGGCGACCAAAACTGGACCGTGTACTCCAGATGTGGCCGAACCAACGATCTATATAGAGGCCCAATTATAGACTTGTCCCTGCAATACATCCCCTTCTTAATACAGGACAAGACCCTGCTAACTTTGTTTACCGCAGCTTGGCACTGCAAGCTACCATTCAGTTTGTGGTCTACAATGACCCCCAAATCTTTTTCTATTTCTGACTTCCCTAGCGGCATACCCATGATTGTATAGCCTATTTGTTTATTTTTATGTCCAAAGTGCATTACTTTGCATTTATCGACATTAAACCTCATCTGCCATAGTATTGCCCACTCCCCTATTTTATCCAGGTCCTCCTGCAATGTTATATTGTCACGATCCGTTTCTAGTACCCTCCCTATTTTTGTATCGTCTGCAAACACGGAAACATGGCTATTTATTCCCTCCCCGATGTCATTAATGAATAGGTTGAACAATATCGGACCCAGCACAGATCCTTGAGGCACACCGCTCATTACACTAGCCCAGTCTGAAAAGGTGCCCTTTACAGAAACTCTCTGAATCAGTAATACACTGTTTACTGCAAGTTCACTTAAGACGACAAGAGGACACCAACCTGAAATTGGAAGAATAAAAGATTTAATCTAAAACGGCGAAGGGGATTCTTTACTGTTAGAGCGGTAAAATTGTGGAACTCCCTTCCCTAGGTAGTGGTATCAGCTGAGAGTATAGACTCATTCAAGAAACTTTTGGATGTTTTTCTTGAACACAATATACAGGCTCTCTTACTTACTCAAACATACACACATATGTACACACACATACATAAGTTGACCTGGATAGACCTGTGTCTTTTTTAAACCTTAACAACTATGTAACTATGAAAGCGCACAATCTAGCCCCCAGCATTAACCCCACTACAAGGGGCCATTTAGCCGAACTAATTGCCTTACATCAGTGTCTTAAAGCAGTAGGTGCCCCATAACCACAGTGACCAAACCCCAGCCCCAGGAGTAACTCCACACTTAAAGGGAAACCCGGAGCCTCCATATGCCTCAATACATTGGGATAAACAGGATGTGGAGGTGGATGTAGAGAAGTAATACTCACTGCATCTTTGGCATGATTTCGACCAGGTGCCATAGCTGTCCACTATGGTGCCATAGCTGACCACCGGCAGCAGCTGAAATGCTGCAGGCCTGTAATGGATACACTGTGACAAACCGATAGTTTGGCTGAATATATGTACCTTTCTGGGCAGAAACCCTGCAGGCTGCCCATTAGGAAACTGAGTTTTTGCAGCCAAACCCACACTGAGCAAGAAACTGCATGAGCTTGATGGCTGTAACTGGGGGTGTTATATGGCCTGTCATCCAGCCAGTGACTTACTTAAAAGAGAAAAACCTTAGTATTTTGTGGTAGATAATTCTATGTCCTAACATCTAGACAGTAGGCTAATAGCTTAGTTTAATACAAGCATGGCCTGCTCCCTTGGCTGCCTTTTGGTAGTAATATATCCAGTCCATGATTACCTGACCAGGGCTATTTCCTCCAACATATGAAAGAGGTTTTTTTTTTTAGTTTTGGATAGAGTGAAGAAGGATTTGAACCTCTGTCAAGTTTTTATTTTTATTTGTGTCTGTGTCCCCATTGGGCAGACTCACCTCTCTATTTGTCAAAAGGGCAGAAAGTGAGTTGTCCCCAGAACAAGAGGTTAAGAGACATCTGTTGCAGAAACAACTAAGAGGGGAATTCCCCTCACTTGGGAAATGTCCTCTAATTTCCTGTTGTGACTGACGAGTGAATGGAAATTTCTCCAATGATATACAAAAAGCAAAAAATAAACTGGCAGCAGTTTTAACCCTTGCCTTCTCTATCCAAAACTAAAAATCCTACATACATAGACTTGAGTAAAACAGCAGAAACTAAAAAAAACAAAAAACAAACATACATACACTGGAGTAAAATAGCAGACATCTTATTATTTAAAAAACATACAGGTACTATTCATCAACATATTACAAATTATATATTAGACATCTTTGTCATTTTGCATTTAGGACTTTTGATTTATGATAGTTGGTAGTTTTCTTTTTTGGGGAAACTGGACAATAAGTCAATAGAATGTTTGAAAACCATGTTGCCCATGTTAAAGTGTATTTCAAGCTAAAAAATGTTTTCCAGCTTTGGATAAAGTCGGGAAGGATTAGAACTCCTGCTAGATCCTTACTGCTATCCAGGGCTCCGTTACAGCCCATTCACACCAGGGTGGTTGCAGATCAGCGTGGTTACTGCGCTGATTTCAAAAGGGAGGTTTTGGGAGTTTTTGGGTGTTTTTAAGTGTGTTTCAGCGCTGAAAGACAATTAAAAACGCCCAAAACTGTGCTGACAGCGGTTCCATTGAAAGCTGTATGGAAACCGTACCGATCAGCGCGGCAAAAATAGTGCAGGGAGCAGTTCGGACGGAAGGCGGTTCAGACCGCACTGAGCCATGCGGTCGCATGAACGGTCCCCATAGCAATGTATGGGGTCGTTCATGTCAGCGGATCCGCGCGCGCACAAATCCGCGCGGCCGCACCTTTCCGGTGTGAACGGGGCCTTAGAGAGATTTACCCTTACATCAGAAAAGTGAGCTTAAACCTCTCTAACTGAGCCCCAGATAGCAGTAAAAATCTGACTGGGTTCTAATCCCTCCCCCCCTGTCCAAGACTAAGAGAAATGTTTCGGCTGGACATACACTTTAAATTGACATTAAAGGCAAAAATGTTTTTGCCTCAACACAACGTTAATGAAAGCACTTACCTTAAATGATGTATCTAAATCCGATCATCTTCTTCTTTCCTGTAGTTTCCAGCCTTCTTTCCAGCACCGCGGCGAGTCTCCGATCCAGCTCTGACTCCTGTGATTGCTGGCACTTCCTCTCCCACGGTGTCTGCATGCGGGTGCATGCGTCTATAGACTTACCTTGTGTCTCTCCTCGCATCCCGGATGAAAATGTGAACTTCACATGCGCCCGCCCGGGCGGTTTCACATTTTCGGACGGGAGCGCGCAGGGAAGATACAGGTAAGTTTAAACCGCCGTTAAAGCGGGTTAAAAAAAAACAAAAAAAAAACGTTTTGCATAGATCTACTGCTTGCTAGCAGTAGATCTATGCAAAAAAAAAGCTGAGGGTTTAGAAACCCTTTAAATACGCTGTCACAATATTCCCAGAAAACCCTAAAATATCAATGCATACTATATACTAAAACCTAATTTACATAAGACAACTTTATAATTTCTGTACCATTGAACATTATCAAACTCAATCTGTTTTTGGGATGCCCTAGGTCTTGCCAAGGATAACCTGTGGTTTTCTATAAGAGTAAAAGGTATGGCTTGCACTGATGTCATTTAGACCTAAAGACAGAAAATGTTTCTGCATATTAAACATCTTTTTTAACAAATGTTTTTTAATGACCCTGATGTTATAAAAAAAAATATTAATACATTTTAATTAGTAAAAAGTTTAATATAATTTTAAGGTCCTAAAGTTCAACAATTATATGTCATGCAACAAAACACCCATTAGTTAAACATTTACAGAACAAATGTTTGCTGATGGAACGCCTACCTTTGCCATCATTGCTGCATATGCTGTATACAGTGGGTCATCCTCCAACTTACTGTGAAGAAAGTGAGCTTGGTGAGTGACAAAAATTCCTTAGATTGGTAATAATTTCATGAACTGAGGGAGGTCATATGAGTAACATTTGAATAACTACTGTCTGACGCAGGCTGGGCTGGACTGGACCCAGTAGCATATTATCAGTAACCAGAAACTCCTTAGCTGTCATCTTTTCCTAAAATCAGCCTTGACACCACAAGATGCTGAATCAGGTGGAAAAAAATCAGCTCCATTTCTTAGAAGATTTGCACAACCAACCATTTAACCAACCATACCCACATTTTTAAGTTCATTCTAAAGGTAGCTATCGTCATGAAATTTCAGCTAGATTCAGCAGATGGTCCTTAATACTATTACTATTGGCAAAGAACAGACACCACTGGATGATCCTTCTCAGGGAGCGTTAAATCAGCCAAGGTTTATACTTGTCATGTGATGACTTAGGGCAGGGGTGCCCACAAGGTCGATCGCGATCTACCAGTCGATCGCGTAGCGATCACTGGTAGATCGCCATGTCGCTCTCCCCAGCGCGGATCCGAGAAGAAGTGAAGGAACCGGCATAATCGGCAGGCGGGGGAGGGCGGAGTACGGAGCCGCTGTCACAGAACTAATGCAGAGCGGTGAGGAGAGAGAGAGAGAGAGACGCTCGGCCAGGATCTGACAGCCGGCACCTCTCTTTCCCCTCACTGCTCGT